CTTTCTTGAGACCATAGAGCTTTCTGTGTCCCTTTCTGTGTCCCCAAGGAAAGACCATTTCAAACACAGCAAGGAGGAAACTGCGAGAAGCTGGGAAGGATTCTTACTAGTACTCCACCTGGTGGCCTTTAGCTTTCAGAACTGGGGGGATAAGTTTCTGTTCTTCTCCCACCCACCCTGTGGGTTTGCTGTGGTGGCGGCACAAACTGGCTAGGTCAGCCTGATGTTGACTGCCCGTTCAAACGCCCGCACATTTCCTTTTCTGTTGAGCATCTGTGTCTCTTGCCTGTGTCTCTGTTGGGTTGTATTAGCTTTGAGATGCAGCTGTAACAAAGTACCACAGTTTTAATAGGTTAAAACAACAGAACTTGCCAGGCATAGTGGCACACACCTCTAATCCCAGCACTCGGGAGGCAGAGGCAGGTGGGTCTCTGTGAGTTCCAGGCCAGCCTGGTCTGGACAGCCAGAGCTACACAGTGAGATCCTGTCTCTAAACAGTAACAACAAAACCAAAACCAAACCAACCAAACAAAGACATCACAACTAATTCACAACAGCCATAAGGCAAAACTAACCTAAGTCAGCTGACAAACAGCTACATGAAAATGCCGTTTGGTCATACAGGGAGGAAAAAAATTTTTTTTTTTTTCCTGAGACAGGGTTTCTCTGTGGCTTTGGAGGCTGTCCTGGAACTAGCTCTTGTAGACCAGGCTGGTCTCGAACTCACAGAGATCCTCCTGCCTCTGCCTCCCAAGGGCTGGGATTAAAGGCATGTGCCACCAACACCCGGCAGGGAGGAAAAAATTTTAAACCATAAAAAATATGACATGACACAGGAAAAGATCAAATTGATTAGTGAGCAGGATATCATACTTTGTAATATAAATGACTTTCCTTTTTTTATTGTTTCAGTCTTATAAAAATGTACAGAGAGGCTGGGTGATGGTGGCGCATACCTTTAATGCCAGCACTTGAGAGACAGAGGCAGGTGGATCTCTGTGAGTACAAGGCCAGCCTACGGAGTGAGTTCCAGGATAGTCAAGACTACACAGAGAAACCTTGTCTTGAAAAACCAAAAAAAAAAAAAAAAAAAAAAAAAGAAGAAGTAATAAAGGCAGGTATTTTCAGGCCTGTTTGTAGAGATTTATACGTGTGGTGATGCAAAACATCAATTATGGGGCTGGAGTGAAGGCACAGCAGTTAAGAGTACTTGATACCCTTGCAGAGAGAGGCCCCCTGTTTGATTCCCAGAACCCACGTGGTGGCACAAATACCTGTAACTCCTGTTCCCTGGGGATTGGATGCCCCCTTCTGGTCTCTGCAGGCATTGTACTCATACCCAAACCTGCACACAAGACACATCCATACACATAAATATAAACAAAAATCTTTTAAAAATTTGCTTATTCAGATCTAAATTGCTCCACTCAGCAGGGACACCCCAGGATTGATATGTGAATCCTTATCTCACAGGAACTCCAGCAGCTAGATTACTTTTTTCCAGTTGTGTTTCAAATTAATCTTTGTTGGTAACACCTTGCATTTCATTACAATCAACTTGTTTTCCAGTAACCATGCTTACTTAGTTTCTAGAGCCTTGTGTTTTTTTTCTGAGTACAGAGACTGATACTTTATATTGGTAGCTGGCTGTAAATCTGGAGTTCATTGGGAATATAAACCAAACCCAGACACTTGCCTAAAAGCATTCCACGGAGTGTAAAGGACTCCCCCATCAGCCAGGAAAGCTGTTTAGGAAAGTAAGACACTGCTGTTAGGTGTCTAGGAGATAAAGCAAACTGTTGGTACCCCAAGGCTTGGCTGGATGTTACTATTTTCATCAGGCCAAAGGGAATCCTCGTCAGTTAGTCCGTTTCCTGGAAATAATGTCCTCCCCGAGAATCTATTTCATCACCCTCAAAAAGAGCAAGAATTGCCCAAGTGCTGACAAATGTTGTCTTGCATTAGGCAAATTGTCAAAAAACAAACCTTGTTTCTGTGCAGAAATTTCAGGGAATCTGTAACAATTAGCTCAGAAAGTCTGTTCTTTACAGCATGGTAAAACAAAATAAGCAAACAAACAGGACTTAGTTCCAGTCACAGGGGAAGAGAAATCTTAGAAACTTTAGGAAGGAGTGGCATGCATCACTTCAGGTCACTTCCGTAGTTGTCACGTGGTCACACTCAATTGCAGAGGAGGAGGCAGCGTTTCTTTGCGAGTTGTTCCGGTTTTGCCAAGGAGTGTGGTGTCTCCGGAGAGTATTGTCATATTCTGGGAATGGCACAGCCGAGAGCTGGAGGACACATCACACACTTCTCTCTGGGTCTTCAAATCAGCACCTCTGCTATTCTGTGAGCAAAAACTAACAGCAATTCCTTGAGCTTTATAAGTGATGAAGAAACCCAACATGCTATTTCATCACATTTATTATCTGGCTGACAGATACCCTGACTGTTACTTTCTTATCTAGATCAGTTCTTCTTAGTTGAGGGGGATTGAGTTCCTGTCCAAGGTTTCCAAACTCATTTCCACATTAAATAGCAAGGGAAGAAATCATAAAGCTGGTTCCCCCTTTTATAGAGAAGAGTGAACATGGGGTTGTAACTATCAGTTTGGGGCTGGAGAGATGGCTCTGTTAGAGCATTTGATGCTCTTAAAGAGACCTCCGTCCTATTCCAGGAGCCCCTATGTGGCTCACAAGCTTCTGTAACTCCAGTTACATTTTCTAATGCTTAGAGACATTAAAACATTTTGTTACATTTATTTATTTGTGTGTGTTGACATCTGTGTGGAGAAACTTTTTTTGTTTGGAAACAGGGTCTCTTTATATAGCCCTGGCTGTTTTGGAATTCTATGTAGACAAGGCTGGCCATGAACTCATAGAGATTTACCTGCTTCTGTCTCCTGAGTGCTGGGATTAAAGACATGTATCATCTTGTCTGGCAAGACATTTTTTATTGTTATGGCTGGGGCTAGGGTACTACTGGCATCAGATGTGTAGAAGCCCAAGGTGTTTTTAAACACTCTACTATGCACTGTACAACCGCCTCTCTCTAAAATAAAATAAAAAATAAAGGGTAATTATGCAGTGCTGTCAAATTTAAAAGCCTTGATATAGGAGCTGCAGAGTTGTCTATGCAGTTAAGAGCACTTGTTGCTCTTTCAAAGGACCCAGGTTCAGTTCCCAGCACCCACATGATGGCTCAAGGCCATCTGTCACTCTGGTTCTAAATCTAAAAGAACAGTATTGAGAGTTAATGTGTAGTGCAGAACCCTAGCCTTCTTTGCAGCTTGACCATGTGACTGGTTGTCACCAATGGTATATAACCTAAAATGAAATGTGCTACTCCTCTCTACTGGTTCTCTTTCCTTTTCTTCTGGCAAGATGGAGATGATAACTAGGGACTGTGGGAGAGCCACAGAGCCTGGACCCCTGAGTCACTGTCTGGGACATCTACCATCCACTGCAAATATAGGTGGCATTTTAAAAATTTTATTTTTTGGTATTACTGTGTGTGATGTGTATATGTATGCTGTGCTGGTTATGTGTGTTAACAGCATACATATGGAGGTCAGTGGACAAATTTTGGGAGTTGATTTTCCTTCCACTTTGTTGAGGTGGGGGGGGTCTCACATCTTTCCTCCTTCTGTGTATTCTAGGCTAGCTGGTCCTCAAGCTTACAGGCTTCCATCTTGCCATAGGAGTGCTGGGACTTTAATGTGTGCTACTGAATCTGGCTTAAAAATAATCATGGTGGTGGCTGGGTGGTGGTGGCACACACCTTTAATCCCAGCCTTTAGGAGGCAGAGGCCGGAGGATCACTGAGTTCAAGGCCAGCCTGACACTAGAGAGTGAGTTCCAGGACAGCCAGGGCTACACAGAGCATCCCTGTCTTGAAAACAAACAAAACAAAACAAAAACCCTATGATTTATTTTATTATTTATTTTATGTGTGTGAGTGTTTTGCCTACATGCAGGCATGTGTAGCTCATGTGTGCCTGGTGTCTGTGGAGGCTCAAAGAAGGCATCAGATTTCCTGGAAAGTGGAGTTTTATTCTAGCTTATTTTGTTATGCTTGGCCTGCATGTATATCTGTGCATCACATGCATGCCCGGTACCCTCAGAGGCAGAAGAAGGTGTCGGATCCCCTAAACTAGAGCTTTGTGCCCCCATAGGTACAAGGAATCACAGGTGCTGGGATTAGAGGCATGAGCCACCACATCTGGCTTGTAGACGTGTTAGAAAAAAAAGTGAGCTTTTGTATTAAAGTCAACAGGTGTCACAAAAGCGTATCTCTTCTCAGTGAATAAGTTGCCCCACACCTATAAATAAACAAGCCTGTTTTGACACAAGGAGCCTTAGAAAGCAGAGAGACCCTGATTAGGAGAAGCTTGTCAGAGCCAGGTGTGGTATCACACTAATCCCAGCACTCAGGAGGCAGAGGCAGGCAGATCTGTGAGTTCAAGACCAGCCTGGTGTACAGGGCAAGTTCCAGGACAGCCAGAGCTACACAGAGACACCCTGTCTCCAACAACCAAAGGGTGGGGGAGAAAAGCATTCAAGTTACCTTTGTCCCTGAGGTTAGCCTGCGGTTGTTTCCAAGCTTGCCACTAAGGGCCATTCCTGCTCTTTGTGATCCAGTTACATCATCAAGGTGGTCAAATTGATTGAGCCCCAGGATATCCAGATATTTGTTAATGGCCATTTCTGTGCTCCAGTTGGGTCTGCAGTGTTTCCTGCAAGACTCGTGTGTTAAAGGCTTGGTTGCAGCCTATGGCACCCTTGAGAAGCAGGAGAACATTTCAGAGGTAGGACCAGCAGGATGTGGTGGTGCAGTACTTGTAATCTCAACAGCCAGTGCCATAAGTGTGAGGTCAACCTGGGCTACATAGTGAGCCATTGTCTGCAATAACCAGAAAGAGGGTAAGGGGGGGGGGGCTAGTGGGGAAGTTAATTCACTGGTGCTACGTCCTTGATCCTTTCTCTCTCTTTGCTTCCCAGTGGCTGTGAACTGAACGCCCTGTTCTGCTAAGTGCTCCCATCGTGATGCTGCCACAAGCCTGAAGCAACGAGGCCAAATGAGCAGCGTGGGAACTTTGAAACTGTGCGCCAGGACAAATCTTTGCTGTTTCTAAGCTATTTATCCCAGTGTGGAAGGATAGCTCTGGGGCTGCCACGTCTTCTGAGTCATGGTGCGGTGGCTGTGGAAGGGGCTGGTAGGCGTCGGCCTCTTTGCCCTGGCTCATGCTGCCTTTTCGGCTGCGCAGCACCATTCTCATACACGAGTGACAGAAAAGGGGTGTGAGCCGCTGCCAACAGACATAGTTCTCCAAACACTTCTGGCCTTTGCAGTCACCTGTTATGGTGTAGTTCATACTGCAGGGGAGTTTAAAGACAGGGACGCCACTAAAGAACTAAAGAATAAGACCTTTGACGCCTTACGGACTCGCCCCTCTTTTTACGTGTTTCGTCATGCTGGCCGCGGACTGTTCCAGCCTTCGGATACAACGCGTGCTTCAGACCTCAGCGGGTCATCTTCTGACATGCTGCTGAAGTTCTGAAGTCGGAATCGCTGCACTGCTCAGCTTTTTACAAGTTAAGTAATAGGACCGAAGCAGAATTAAGTACTGGGATTTGGAACGTAAGACACCAACTACACATCAGTATTTTTATTGATATTTCAGACTTAATTAAAAAAAAAAAAACTATAACCCAAAACAACCCCCCCCCAAGATATTTATCACAGGTATCCCGTCACAGCTGTAGGAAGCTGACCAGCTGTGGAGATGTTTTTGGATGAGGCAAACATTTGTATCTCAGCCTGAGTAAAGCAGAGTGCCCTCGATAATGCACGTGGACCTAAGCCAGTCAAAGGGCTGAGTGGAACAAAAAGACTTACTAAAGAAGACTTTGCTCCTGTGTGATTGAGCTGAGACACCGCTCTTTCTCTGGCTCTGTCCCCTAAACCCAAATATCAGCCCTTCTTCCACGTTGAGCCTGCTGGTTCTCACACTTGCATGTAGGCTTCCCTGGGCTCTGCTTGCCGACTAGTCTTGAGGGACTTGGAGGTTTTCACAATGTGCAATGCAGTTCTTCATTGTGGTTCTCATCGAGGATCCTCCCAGGCTCTCAGACTGATGATCTGGAGGCTGTTGTGAGCCATAAGCCCCAAGAGGATGATGATTTCCTATGCTGTGTGAAGAGGCCTAACTGTGAAGGAGAGGAGGCCAGCTGAAACAGTGGAGATAAGAGGTGGAGAGAGCCTTGCACCTGCCAGTCGGGCTATCTTCGGCCAGTTCCATGTGTTGTTTGTTATGGTCTGGTTAACCGCCCACTTCCCTTGTGTGCTCCTGGCTCCATATGAGAGTCTGGCATTTGCAAATGTGTTAGGCTTGGTTAGAGGACAAGAATTGACAAGGGGTATGTGCATGCGTTTGTGTAAAACTGTCCCTTGGTGTCTACAGAGGACTGATTCTCCAACCATCTACAGGAACCAGAATCCTCTGATGCTCAAGTAGTTTTTAGAAAATGGTGCTCAAGTAGTTTTTAAATGATGTGGTATTTGCATATAACCCATGCCTACCCTCCCATGTACTTTTAGTCATCTCTAGATTACAAATAATACCTAATACCATGTAAATTCTGTAAAAGACAACAAAAAAAGTCATACTGCATTGTTTAGGGAACAATGATAAGAAAATGTCTATGTGTTCAGTGCAGATGGAATCCCTCCCCCCCCACCCCCAGTTTTTGGTTACCAGTTGGTTGTGTCTGTGCTTGGTTTGTTTACTTGTCTTTATGGTCTACTTCTACAAGAATGTTACCTCCCTGAGTCTTGGTTCCTTGTGGTGCCCCTGCCATAGTGCTTGATGTGACTTTGCTTGATAGAGAGAGAGAGAGAGAGAAGGAGGGAGGGAGAGAGATACTGACCCCCTCTCTGTCTATATAATCAGGCTGGTCTTGAACTCAGAGATCCACCTGCCTCTGCCTGGGATTAAAGGTGTGCACCACTGGGTCTGGAGAAATGGCTCAGCTGTTAAGAGCACTGGCTGCTCTTCCAGAGGTCCTGAGTTCAATTCCCAGCAACCACATGGTGGCTCAAAACCATCTGCAATGAGATCTGGTACCTTCTTTGGCCTGCAGGCATACATGCAGACAGCATTGCATACAAAGGAAAAAAAGAAGGTGTGTACCACCATACTTGGCTTTTTTTCCCCATACATATTTATCAAGAAAGGCTCAATTTACTCTGTGAACTCCAGTTTTCAAGACTCCATGTTGACTGGTCTGCTGAATTCACCACTTTCTGCTCCTTCCTGTCTGGATTATTCTGTCCTTTGATGTAGTAATGGAAAACCTGTATTTCGTTCCTTCCTCCTTTGACATGCCTCTCTAGAGAACCCCCTCCTCCTGCAGCATGTTGACCACTGTATGGCCCTTCTGACCTGCCTGTGGCCATCTTCCCATTCTAGGACACCTGTCTTAATTACTTTTCTGTGGCTGTGGCAGAATACCCTGGCCAAGGCAATTTATAAAAAGAAGCGTTTAATTAGACTTAGTTTTAGTACATGATGGCTGAGCAAAAGCATGGTGGCACTAATGACTGAGAGTTAACATCATGACCTACAAGTAGAAGGCAGAGAGAGAAAGAGAGAGAGACTGGCAATGGTGCAAATCTTTCAAACCTCAAAACCACTGCCAGTGACACACCTCCACCAAGGCCACATCTTCGAATCCTTCCCAGATGGTTTTACTGGGGATCAAGTAGTCACATACCAGCCTCACGAGGCCATTCTTATTCAAACCACCACAAGATCTAACACTGTTGGGCTCAGTTGCCCTCTTGTGGGTTGGTCGGAGACTGCTTGTTTTTAGTTGAACATTCCTGTCCTTTGGCAACAACATGCATCTCTGACTCTGTTTGTGCAGAATGTAAGTGGTGTTTTCTTTATCCACTTTTCTATCTTGTTTCACTTCCCCTAGGATTTTCTTGGTCTTCTTACAGCCTGTCCGTCTACACTGTCTGCATCTCTGTGGGACTCTGCCCCTGCATCCAGGCAACCCTTGCTTTAGTACAAGGCTGTGTATCACTTAACATCTCATAGACATAGCCTATACTATGAGTACAATCCTATCTCTCTTGGCTGTACAGTCCTATTAGTTACTAGTATTTCTAGACCAGCACTATCATATAACCAAGTTTGAGTCCTCATTATTGGAGGGCCTTCACAGCCAAGCTCCTGCCTCACTTCTCCAGCCTCGTCTCCATCCCTTGCACAGTACACTCCATGTCTTCAGGACACTTGCAGATGCTCAGTGTGCCAAGTAGGATCACACTGCTTCCTTTTTACAGAAGGCTTCTTGTGATGGCTAGTTTTAAATGTCAACTTGTCATGAATTGGAATCACTTGGGGGAGAGACTCTCAATTGAATAACTGCCTTTATCAGATTTGTCTGTGGGGGATTGTCTTGATTGTTAACTGATGTAGGAAGACTGCCCACTATAGGTAGCACCATTTCCTAGGCAGGGGATCCTGAATGACAGGACAGAAGCAGGGTAGATGTGAAAAATCAGGCAAATGGGTAAATTCTGGAGGCTAGGAGCCAAGATCAAGGAGTTCACTTGGGTTCCTTCCTCCCAGGATTCTCTGCTTGGCTTGTAGTGGATGTCTTCTTGTGTCTTCACGTAGACCTCCCTTTGTGTGTTTGTATCCTATTGTCCTCTTCATAAAGATCCTGTCCTTACTAATAACCTTGTTTTAGCTTAATTACGTCTTTAAAGACACTCATAATCTTAGGTAGGTTCTAGGGATTGGATTGCAACATGTAATTTTTGGGGGACCCCTATTCAGCCTGTAATATACCTCCTCCTGACCCCCAAAATTGTAATTCTCATATATAAATATATTCATTCTTACAGACACCGATGTCCTAACTTTCCTGCATCTACTCTGAGTCCAATATCTCATCTACATCATGTGTTGGATAAACTCCAAGTATGAATCTTCCTGAGTGAAAGTTTCCCGCTGTGTACCTGTGAAACTAGACCATACATTTCATGCTTTCAAAATAAACTAGTGGGGCAAACATGACCTAGACTTCCTAAGCCCAGAGGAAAGGGGAATGGGGAAAGGTCACATTAGGACCCCTAAATGTCTGAATTTTGTGGAGTTTAGATTCAATCCACAACAGCTTCCTTTTATTGAACCTGGAAATGAACCCACAATTGAATACCTAATTGACTTGCTGTTCCATCTTTATGCTTTATTAAACCCCAGCCCATATTTACCTCCACCAAAATCCCAGTTATATTTAATTTCACCCATTTAATTACACGGCTGTCTCCTCTGTCAACACGTGACACACAAGTACACTTTCAGAATACACTGGTCCTCCTTACCCCTGGGGACACATCCAAGACCTAGAGTAGATGTCTGCAAAGTACTGAGTTCGTTAGGTAGTATTTTATTTTTTCAGTCTGATAATCCAGACAGCCATTAGGAGAGTAACAGGTGGGGAGCATATATTACATGGATACTCCAGATAAAGACATAATTCACATGATGCCGGTACTAGATTTCAGCTGTTCAGAACAGCGTGCAGTTTAAAATGTACCCATTGCTTGTTTCTAGAATTTTCATTTAACATTTCTTTGGACTGCAGTCAACACTAGGTAACAGACTATGGAGAGAAAAACCTTAATGAGGGGGCACTGCTGTATGTTCCTGAAGGGACCAGCTCCCCATTTCGGCAGCCATAACAGTAACATGTGCTTGCCATGACCTTGTCCTAGTCACTAGAAGTCAGAAGCCTGCCTTGTGACAAGGAACCAATCAGAAGTTAGCTGGTGGCGCTGTGCTTTACGGCTCTGGGTGTGCTTTATGGACAAATACACAGCAATGACTCGCAGAGCATAGCAACCACCCTGGGAGGGTCTATGGTCCATAAGAACCAATTGGCCAATCAACACAGGGCAAGCCCTCCAAGCCTGGAGGCACACCAATCCTGAGCCTGTGCGTACCCCTAGATACTCCCCTTATGCTGCCCTACAAGATCTCTATGCATCCTGTTCGAGCTGTCTTTGCTAGCCATCCGACGAAAGACCCCAGCTAACATGGGGTTAGCTCGTTAAACAACAATAAAGCCTCATGTAGTTTGCAGCAAGTTTTGAATCTGCCTGGTGATTGGGGTGACTGCGGTCGTGGGCTGAGACCCCGGAGGCCTGAGTTTTCCGGGGGTCTAACATTCCAAGAGTGTAACATAAATAAATCCCATGGAATGGTGGAGGGGGGCCTCTGTTGCTCTGTACATTGCTGTGTCTGTAGAACCTAAAACAGTGCCTGGTACATAGCAGATAGTCCCCAAATATTTACTGAGTTTGTGAGTGAAGGTAAATAGACATACACACACTAAGCATTTATCACACGTGTACATTCTAGATTCTTGAGTGTTGAGCAGCCTATGAATCTGTGTTGTATTTTTTCCAACTGAGCACAAGAGAATATTAATACTCTCCTCCTGAATGGCCAGATACCAGCTGAGCAACCGGCACATGCCTCTGGGTTCCCCAGATGACTCACAGGAGAGCTTTGTTTGGGAGGAGTGGGACGAAATGATGGTTGACAAAAATAACCGTGGGTCCTCGAAGGCGGCATCGAGCTCTACCGGCGAAGAGAACAATAGAGGTGAATGTAAGGTTTCTCCAAGGCAGGGCTCAAGATAACTATTGTCC